AGCCTTTGCGTACTCAATAAAGCACAGGTAAACATCTTTCTGATATTTTCTGCTTTCAGCCAAGATCCATCGGACATCGGCAATGATATCCCTCATTCCACGGTCTCTTCTGAATCCAGCTTGAACCTCTGGAAGTTCTTTGTCAAAGTATGCTTACAGCTATTCTGTATTACCTTTAGCAAAACTTTACTCGCATGGGATATCAAAGAGATTGTCTGATGATTTCTGCATTCCATTGGGTCACCCCTCTTTGGAATGGGCACAAATACGGCTCTCTTCCAATCAGCTGGCCAGATAGTTGTTTTCCAAATTTCTTGGCAGAGATGAGTGAATGCCTCCTGTGCTGCCTCACTTTCTTGAAAGATTTCAATTTTGATTCCATCAATTCCTGGTGCCTTGTTCTTTCCCAATTCCTTCAATGTACCTTGGACTTCCTCCTTCAGTATCATTGGCTCTTGATCATATGCTACCTCTTGAAATGGTTGAACATTAACCATTCCCCTTTGGTACAGTGACTCTGTGTATTCCTTCCATCTTCTCTTGATGCTTTCTGCATCATTCAATAATTTGCCCACTGAATCTTTCGATAACGAAAGTTGAGGCTTGAATTTTTTCTTCAGTTCCGCAACTTGAGAAATGCTGAGTGTGTTCTTCCTTTTTGGTTTTCTGATTCCAGATCTTTGCACAGTTTGTTGTAATATTTGGCTTTATCTTCTCGAGCTGATCTTTGAAATTTTCTGTTCAGCTCTTGTACCTCCTCATTTCTTCCACTTGCTTTAACATCTCTACGCTGGAGAGCAAGTTTCAGTGTCTCTTCTGACATCCATTTTGACCTTTTCCTTCGTTCTTGTCTTCTTAATGGCTTTTTGCTTTCTTCATGTATGATGTTCTTGATGTCATCCCACAACTCTTTTGGTCTTCAGTCTTTAGTGTTTAATGTATCAAATCTGTCCTTCAGATGATCTCTAAATGCAGATGGGATATATTCAAGGTCATATTTTGGCTCTCATGGATTTGTTTTCATTTTCTTCAGCTTCAGTTTGAATTTGCATATGAGTAATTGATGGTCTGTTCCACAGTCTGCCCCCTGGCCTTGTTTTCACTGATGATATGGAACTTTTCCATCATCTCTTTCCTTAACAACCTGTGCTATGCAGATGATACAACCTTGCTTGCTGAAAGTGAAGAGGACTTAAAACATTTACTGATGAAGATCAAAGAACACAGCCTTTGGTATGGATTACATCTCAAGGTAAAGAAAACAAAAATCCTCACCACTGGCCCAATAAACAACATTCTTATCAATGGAGAAAAGATTGAAGTTGTCAAGGACTTTATTCGTCTTGGATCAACTATCAACACTCACGGGAGCAGCAGTCAAGAAATCAAACAACATATTGCATTAGGCAAATCTGCTGCACAAGACCTTTTTAAAGTGTTGAAGAGCAAAGATGGTCAGCTTGAGGACTAAGGTGCACCTGACCCAAGCCATGGTATTTTCAGTAACCTCATATGCATGTGAAAGCTGGACAGTGAATAAGAAAAACCGTATAAGAATTGATGATTTTGAGTTATGGTGTTGGAGGAGAATATTGAAAGTGCCATCCACGGGCTGCCAAAAGAACCAATAGATCCATTTTGGAAAAAGTGTAGCCAGAGTGCTCCTTGGAGGCCAAGATGGCCAAACTTGGTCTCTCATACTTTGGACATTTTGTCAGGAGGGACCAGTCGCTGGAGAAGGAGATCATGTTTGGTAAGGTGGAGGGTCAGAGAAAAAGAGGAAGACCCCCAATGAGATGGATTGGCCAGGTGGCAGCATTGATGGACTTAAGCGTGGCAACAGTAAGTAGTGAGGTTAGCCCAGGATCAGGCAGTGTTTCGTTCTGCTGTACATAAGGTCACTGTGAGTTGGTACTGACTCGATGGCACCTAACAACAACAACAAATGGCTAGAAGAGACATTAGACAACTCACTGCACCGCAGGTTGTTGCTGTTGTAATTAGGTGTCATTGAGTCAGTTCCAACTCAAGGTGACCTTATGCACAAAAGAACGAAACACTGCCAAGTTCAGCACCATCCTTAAAATCGTTATGTTTGAGCCCACTGTTTCTGACAGTGTTGATCCATCTTGTTGGTGGAGTTGGGGAGGGGGCTTCCTCTTTTCTGCTGACTTTTCCAAGCATGATATCCTTCTCCAGGGACTGGTCCCTCCTGATAATACGTCCAAAGTACAAGAGGCAAAATTTTGCCATCCTTGCTTCCAAGGACCATTCTAGTTGTACTTCTTCCAAGATAGATATGTTTGTTCTTATAGAAGTCAATATTCTTCAACACCCATAATTCTTCTCCAGTCTTCCTTATTCACTGTCCAACTTTTACATGCATATGTTGTTGTTGTTGTTAAGTGCCATTGAGTCTGTTCCGACCCATAGCGACCCTACTTAGGATTTCCGAGGAGCAGCTGGTGAACTTGAACCACTGACCTTGCAGTTCAAATGGCTTTGCAGTCTGGTGCATTAACCCACAGTGCCACACCAGGATTCCATATGAGGCAATTGAAAATATCATGGTTTGGGTCAGATGTACTTTAGTTCTCAAACTGGCATCTTTGCTCTTGAACACTTCAAAGACGTGGTACAGGTAGTCATGGTTTTTGTCTGTACTGGCAGAAGTTCTTTCTCCTCAGTCCTAGAGAGTGAGCAATATTTTGTAAGTCCTTATCTCATTCTCTCTGACTTGCTCATCTTTGTACACTGAACGCAAGCAGAATTGACTCCTTTTTTCAGTGATTTCCAAAGTTTAATATTTGTGTTAATTTAAAAAATTTTTCTACCACTCAATGCTATATATGTATATAGCATGTATATCCACATACATATACTGTATTATACATGCAATATATATAATAGTGGCTTACTTCCTCTTGAACACCCCAACGGGAACTGGCAAAAGTTTTATCATCTTACACGACTTGGCCTCAGATGTCACATAGTGTCACTTCTACACTTGTTTCAAGCCCATTCAAATTTAAGGGGAAGGGACCCAGGCGCTGAAACTCAGTGCCTCCATGGATATGTGGCAAGGTCATGGTATGGATGAGAAGAGTCTGTGTGGGAGGAGACATTGGTGGTGCCAGTTTGGGAGAATACAGTTGGTGGTCTGCTCTCCTGCTACAATATTTCAGCCCTTCCACATAGATAACATGTCTCTTCTTGGCCACCAAATTTCAGCCTATGATGGCATCACCTTGAAGTCCAGGGTCTTTTCATTTAACTCAAGCCCAGGTGAGGTCCTCAGACGAAGGCTCTCTTGTACTGAAAACACTTGAACTGCATGGACAAGTTACCCACCTCCCCTTCCCACTCCACTGTCCCTCTATGAGGGCAGGGCTCAGGCTAACCACAGTTCGATCTCTAGTTTCACAGAGCTGCTGTGGGAGACACACTGAGCCTGGGTCATTCCCAAGGGCTCCATTCTGCTTTGTTCTGGGAGTTGTTCACTGGGGCTCTTGGTTCATCCTCTGAGTCATCCTTCCTTTTCATGTTGCTGTTGTTACGTGCCATTGAGTTCGTTCCGACTCATAGCAATCTTGTAAAGGGTTCCTCTTGTGCATATCTTACAGCGCCACACCAGGAAATGGCATTTTGTAATCAAGTCCTTTTTTTAGTTTGCTTCCTGCATAGAAAAGACTAAGGAACCAAAGACCTCCTTTAATTTCTTCTGTCTAAGATGATGGTGCTGCTGCCAGAACAATTCTTTTAAAAAGATGTGGTTTTCTATACTCAGATTGGGGTTTGTAGCATAAACTGAAACCACACCCTTCATCTCTCTGAAATGAACCTTCTCCACCTTGATCAAGCCCAGTGGGGCATCGTACAAGCCCATTGCTTAGCAGGGTGAGTTTATGAAACACGTTTTTAGGACCCTTAGAGAGCTTTTGTCTCTAAAAAGAGAGGGTCTTTCAGTGTTGGAACTCAAGCTTGCTGTGAATCCATCAGGAAATAGGCCCCGAGAGCTAGGGTAAAGGCTGGGTTCTATTTGAGGGCAGTTCCTGGGACGTAGCTTGCAATGACAGCAGCAGTATCAAACTTACACAGCAGGGATCCTTGGCACTGACAGCTACCTGCCCCTGGCAATGGGACATTTTTTAGTGAAAACCTAAATTGTAGGCTGTAGTAACCAACATTCCACTCTTCCTCAATAATCCTTTAGGTGGACAGACAGAGGAACTAGTGTAGGTGGGAAGCCCTATAGCAGCATGCCCCTCTCTTTACTGCAGTTTGCTCAGCCAGGCTCGGCTGTCTTCAAACCAAAGGAAAGAAAAGAAAAAAAGCCTTTCCAGGAGACACTGCTCTGCAGCTAGTCTGTATGGGGTCAAAAAGCAGACAGAGGAAGGAGGTCTCCAGCCGCCCACTGCCATACAGGGTCTCCTGTGCGAGGCCTCCTGGGCCTGCCGTTTATAGATGGTGGCAGGGACACTGGAGGTTGAGAAGATCACTCAAGCCCCAGCACTGACCTCAACAGCAGAATTTCTCCTGAGCTGGCCCTGCCCGCCCTGGGGACCTATTTCATAGAGACAAGGTGACACCACCCCACCATCATTTCCCACCACCTGCCGAGGCTACCTGTTCCCCATCCTATTCACAGCCTGGGTTCAGGAGCTAGGCAGACCTTGGAGCGGGCATTGCTTACAGCTTGGGACCCTGAGCCGCTGACCCTGCCTTGTGTTTCAGTTTGCTGAGGAGAAAGTGGGGCTTCAGGGGCCTATCTCTTGGGAGCAGCTGTGAAGGGTGAGAGACAACATGGTCACACAGCTGGAGCCTGGAGGCTACCATTGTCATTAGTTGATAAAAGCACATGTTTTTCTCTCTGGGACAAAACTCACCATGACCCTTTAAAGCATGGCGTGGTCTCACATGTCCAGGACATGGTAGGACGGACACCTGCAGGCTGACCCTCTGGAAGGGTGGCATACCCACTGCCCTCTCTTGCCCCCTAGTCAAGTACGACCTCAACAACCCAGCCAAGCACGCCAAGCTGGACTTCCTCAACAACCTGGCCACAGGCCTAGTGTTCATCATTGTGGTGGTCAACATCTTCATCACAGCCTTCGGCGTCCAGAAGCCCATGATGGATGTGGCACCCCGGCAGTAGGGAATGCAGGTGAGCAGAAAGGGGCAGGAGACCTGCCTAGCCCAGGAGTAGTTTCAGCATTGCTGCCTATTGTCCACAGCTGCTGGTCCAGGGGCTGTAGGAGGCTCTCAATCTGACGAGGTGCCTGCCCACCATATGCTGGGGCCTTCCCTGGACAGGGACCACGGGAACCCTTTGTGTATAACCATGCCCATCTGTCCAGAGCTGGCCCTGTTCCGGCGACTGAGCAGAAATGGTTTGAAATCAAAGTTAACAACTGGGAGAGTTCACACAAAAAATGAGATTTCTGACTTTCCTCAAGAAGGTGGAGCTCTATTCCCACGTCAGTTCTCCCCTCAGCGGCAGGCAACAGGGACTGAGACAAGTCCGGCTCGCTGTGTCCCCTGCCGCACGTGAAGGATGCTGGGCCTGGCTGTGTCTCTTTGTACAGTAACTGCTCAGCTGAGCCACTGATACTCAAGGCTTATTGGGGAAGGAAGGAAAGTCAGGCTGGGAGGGATTTACTGTGTCCCCTTGCTCACCCTTGCTCAGTCACTAGTGTCTATAGAAGGTCACCCCAGTGCTGTCTCCTTTTTGAATATAGAAGAGTAGCAAGGTCACAGACACAAATCACAGAATGAAACCTAACCCATCCAGCCCTGGCAAGAAGACATGCTCTCTCCAGAGGTGGTCAGAGCAATTCCTGGTAGTGTTCATTAGGCCCTGCTGCTAGACATGTCCCCCTCAAATGTGGAATCATCACTTGCTGAGTGGGCCATGGTCATGTGACCAGTGACCCAGGGAATCTGCATTCATCCTGTTTTGCAGAGGAGGAACTGAGCTCACACACTGTCCTGACATGCCTCAATCAGGCAGGTCCTTCTGACCCCAAGTCCATTCAACCCTGGTCCTGGAACATCCTAGGGGCTGCTCCTGGCTCTGGTCCCCAGGCTGGCACTAATACTTGCTTCTCCCTTCTCTGCAGGATCACCGAGTGACTCCTACTCATTGCTTGGTGTCCAGAACTAGGAGCTGCTGGTCCTTTCAGCATCTTCCTCCTGTGGTCCATCCATATTGCCCCACAGTGGGGACACTGGACTACTGCAGGATGAGCTTTGTCTGAGTACCCTCGGCTGGACCTTTATGCTGAGCTATGGAAGACTCCAAGGCTCCCACCCCCCAAGAGCTAAGCCCTCATCTCATGGCGGAGCCACAAAGGGACCATAACTTGTTCCAAGATAAGAGAACCAGTCCAGGACATGCCAACTTTTAGCTTTCCGGCCCTCTGTCTCAGGACATTCCAGAGCAACAGGGAGATGGGCCTTCTCCCTCTGCTGATGCCACCATCTTCCAGGCCATATGAACATCTGCCTGAGTCACCAGGTCACACAATACCTTCTCCACCCAATTCCTAGCCATGGGACACTGACAGTGCACACCCCCTTTTGGCACTGGGGTCAGGCTTGGTGCCTTAGCTGTGGCAGGCACTCCTTGGGAGTCCGGCTAGCCTGAACCCAGCCCTGCACTACCTACCCTGAGGCCTGACCACCCTCCACCAACAGTGATGGGGCAGTGCCCCAAACTTACCTGTTTTCTAAGCCTAAAGTGACAATAAAGCCTCCGCTCCCTTTGACTGTTTTAGTGTGCCCCACCTTCCACTGGCTTCAGTAGTGGCTGCAGTTAACACAGTTCTCATGTCTGGGGCTGTGTGAGGTGCTGTGCTGCCCCACCTTCTGGAAATTTCACCCCAGGTGCATCGGGTCAGGCCCCAGCCCGGGCCAAGGGACCCTGGGCAGTGAGAGTGCCTTCTACGGAACTACGACAAGGGTATGAGTGGGGGCCTGGGCTCTTTCAGGTGCTACCTCTGAACCCAGACGTCAGGCTCTGCTTGCTCAAGGCTTGCTTTTTCTCCTTTTTCCTTTTGGAGTACAGAAGAGTACAGCATACACCCTTCTCCAAGGCACACCATGGTTCATACTTGCCACATTTGTTCTGTCACTTGCTTCAGGCCAGTGGTCCTCCAAGAGTGGGCCCAGGACCAACTTTGGCCTTGCCTGAGCCACTGTTAGCATTACTACGAGGCCAGTGCCTGTCCTGCCCAGTTTCCCAGGTAGTTTAGTCATAGAAAAGCTGCCCAGCCCAGGCCCTCAGGCTGCCTTTCCTCCACAGCCTCAGCCCATGGCCCTGCTCATCCACTTGACAGGGCCAGGGAATGTACCGTTGAGAGTGATTCCGAGGTGCATCGCCAACATTTGCTGCTGGTCCCACTCTTGCTCGTAGTGCCTTTGATTACTTTGAGACTCAGAAGCCAATACAACTCTCCTGCTCCTCTGGCTCTCCCTTTTGGGAATCAACAGCCTTTATTAGCATCTCCAACTATCACCCCTTTGTTTGCTCAGGACAGGGCTGTATGAGTCATACGAGAAGGTCACAAGCAACCCCAAACCCGGGTGATGACTCCTGAGGCAGACCGATTCAGCTAGCCAGCTGTTGACACGCCCATGGATGAATTTTCCATTGCTCCCGTCTAGTTCCTGGCACTTTCCCCACTTCCACAGGAGGCTCAGCTGCATGTTGTGTTTCTGAGCCTGGCATGTCCTCTTCTGGTGGTGGGGTTTGTGATCCCTTTTTCCCTTGTTTCATAGACTGCAAGGGTCCCGGTGCTTGCAGGGCTGTGGAGCCTATACCCTGTCCTACAGTCTGGTCCAGTACTACCCTGACTAGTTGGGAGTTACAGCCCAAGGCCAACATGGGAGGAGGGTGTGGGGATGCATGGCAAGGCTGTGGGAGCCATAACCCCCATCAATGCCTATGAAGGCAAAGCTGAGTATCACGTGCGGGGGTCCTTACCCACTCTGGAGACACTGGATCCTGAAGCCTCATCCCATCTCCCATCCCATATTCACTCCACCCCCCAGTCACCACCCATGTCCCAGGCCCCCCCACCCTTCTGCCTCCTCCACGCGGCAACGGAGTAGGGATGCACCTGGGATCTACGAACCTGGCCCCTCTGTCGTCCTGGCCTCAGCTTGGCAGCTGCTCTGTAACAACCTGCTCTCTTACCTGGCCTCATGGTACCACCTATGGCCCTCTGCCCTCCCCTTCCTCTATGTAGCCTCCAGAACCCCAGGCTGCCAAAGCCTCCTTTCTCTCTCATTGTCCTCTCCCAACTGGTACAGCCTGCTGAGACTGAGGGGCTCCAAGACTTTTGATCTTGAGGTGGTTCAGTAGCCCTGCAGACTTGTGTTGTGAGACTAGTTGGTTACCTGTGTAGTCAATAAGTAGAAGTACTCATGGCTGAAATGATCTGATGGTGAATTTCCTGTAAAATACTCTTGAAAATATACACACTCTAGGAAAGAAAAAGCAGGGGTTGAAACATGGTTGGTAACTGGAGTGGGGTTCATAGTCTGCATCTGTGAGTGTTTGGATGTCCTACAGGAGCATGTTTAGAGATGAATCTGTGTGTGAGGTGATCACCAAAAGGAGCTCAGTTCAAAAAGCAAGATGTGCAAATGTGCTGGTGTGAGCATGTTTGCCCATGAGGTGAGGTGTCGGGGTCAGATGGATGAGTATGTGATAAAGTACGTGGGAGCAGGTGTGTACAGATGCCCCCAGGGCACTCCAGGAATGCAGTGGGGTGGGAGGACTGGGAAGAGGATGGAAGGGGTGCTTAGGGGTAGACCGCCCCCTCAAGTTGTGCTCGGTGCTTTCAATACCTCAGGGAGCTAATAGTCCCAGTGCTCTGAGGGTAGATCCTTCTGCCCAGCACCCTGCTCCCAGCAATTTGCCCCCTCCCTTTCCAGTGGCCCATCTTCACAGGATCCCCAGGGGTTTGCCACACTCGCCAGAGCAACCATGAAACAGCTCCTTTGTCCCATCACACTCCAGCTTGTCCCCCAAAGCCCTCTCCAGCCATCTCCAGGAAACTCCCCTGGTATGTTTGGGGGCCCTCCCAGGGTCTGGCCACCCTTAAGAATAAGGAAGGCATAAGGCCCTCATGGCAGTCCTCAGCCTGGCCAAGTGCTGAGTCCCAACTTTGTGGGGCGTGGTGGCCGTGAGCTGACCAGCAGCCATCTGTGAGGCAACCCCAGCTGTGTACTTCATTTCATAGGGCAGCACCAGGTCAAATGTATTGGACAACCGATGGCTTAGTTCCTCCTTTGGCCAGGACAGTATGCCACACAAATGGGAAGCGAGTGAGTCCTAGATGGCTGGGACTGATTGTCCTAAGATCCCTGAGCCACTAGGGCTGGTGGGGAATGTTACAGGCAGAGGGGACATTCCTAGGGCAGATGTGAACCAGGCCTATCATTGAAGGATCAGTGAGGTGGTCATCATGGCTGGCCAGGGGTTGCGGGGGGCGGGGGGGCAAGCAGGGGGTGGGGAGCAATCACATAGAGCTTGGAGGCTGGTCTGTTTTCTTAAGCTCAGGTAGATGGTAAATGAACAGGTGATAGAGATGATGACAGATGGGTGGTGGATACCTAAGATGAGAGAGCTGATGTAGATGATAGATGATAGGCTGGCTGCCTTCCAGTCTCACCCCATCAGTCCCCTACCCCCACTAGGTAGCCACCATCTTACTTTTATAACCATTAGCAGCTTGTGTCTCTGTGTAACTTAAGTTACACCTTATATGTATCCTTAGACACCTCACCCCAGGAAAACATTTCATCTGCTTTTTAAATCTCGTTTCATCTACAGCCCCCTACCCCACCCCATCTTTCTTCTTCCTAATATTTATCTATTGAGAACCTGGTCTGCTTGACTCATACAGAGGACCAAAGCCAGCTTGGGTTCCCATGCCCCTCTGGCTGTATGGGAATAGTGAGGGTGAAGGTGGAGGCAGGTCAATGGAAGGCGCTGGCTGAGTAAGAAGATCCAGGGTATATTTGTTTAAAAGGTGATAGGACATTGTTTGCTGTTGGGATGGATGGGACCTTGCACCGACATCTTCCTTCTTTCACACTCTAGCCCACACCCCAGGAAAAAGCACTCAGCATCAGAAACTGTGTAAACAGCCATACTGCAGGCTGGAAGCTCTCAGATCCCTGAGCCCTCCTGGCTCTGACCAGGTACATGCCTCCCAGTGCCTTTCTCTTCCTTTCTCTCCCTCACCCCTCATTTTCCTGTCACTGTCCTTTCCCTTTGTCATCTCCCTAAAGTCCTTGTCTCCTCCTTCATGCTCCTTCATTCCCACCTGCCTGTAACGAAAGTATCATTCCTATCTCCTCATCGCATCTCTGCTAAAAGTCAGGGGGTTGGATGTGTGCCCATTTTCCTTCTCCTTCTCCCAGCAGTTATTTTGAGGAAACACTAAGCCAGGCTGCTGTGGGGACCTAGGCCTGAAGGAGCTGCCCCACCAGGACCAGCACTGTCATTGCTCGTCCTGTGAGTGCAAGGGCCTGTGTTGTACCATCTCCACCAGGACTGCTGTGTGACCATCCTGCCAAAGTTCCTAAGGTCTGGCTGCCAGTCCTCTGTGTGCATGTCTGTTGCCCAACTTTGCTGACAAGACCCAGAGGGCCTGCATGTGTCCCTGCCCCAGTCAGGTAACAGAACAGCATTCACCCCCTCTACATGAGAAGGTGCTAGAGGCAGTGGCAGCAGGCTGAACCTGGGCCTTGAAGAGGTTCATCCTGCTGGTGGGAAGTCTGTGTAGCCAGCCAGTCAAGGTGGGGAGGGCTGCCTGGTGGCTGTGGGCTTGCTGAGGGACCCTAAGAAGCCTCCTCTCTCGAGCTTATCTGTACTCATAAAGGGGCACAGCACTGGCCTGCAAAGGCTGTAACCCCAATGGAAATGGGAAGTGGTGAGCAGTTCTCAGCAACGTCAGCACCTGTGTTCCATTCCCCAAACTCGGGACCCTGAGCCCTGCAGAGTCGACATGTTTGTTTCCTGTCACAGGAGGGAAACCCTGAGTTGTGCAAGATGCAACTACGTCTCCAGGCCTGGAGCTCATGGCTCATCCCCTCCAGCCTGTGTCCCGGCCCCTCCTTCTAGGCATCCAAGCTTTGGGGAGTCAGCCCTTGGGTGCTCCTCACCTCTCAGTAGCCCTGACAGCACCTGCCCAGCTCTGGAGATGGGATGGGATCCTAGCTGCTGCTGCTGCCAGGGGCAGGAAGGGGTGGGAACAGTGTGTCCTTACTGGAGTGCCACAGAGGGCTTCTTAGAGGAGGCGGCGTTTCCCCCAGACCTGAAGGGTAAGCAGGTGGAGTGGATCAGGTGTGGCACTGTAGGGTAAGCGCTGGATTGCAAACCCACCAACCGCTCCTCAGAAACTCTGTACAGAGTCGCTGAGTCGGAGCTGACTCGACAGCACTTAACAATTCCAAGCAGAGGAAATGGCATGTTGAGGGTGTGGAGGCACAAAGGGCAAACGATGCATACATGGAGACAGGTAGTAGGTACTTTGAGCAGCAGCCTCAGGCTTCATCCAAGAGCATGAGGGGCTATGGCAGGCTCTGGAAGGAGGTGTGATTCTGGCACCTTTGACACACTTAGGGATTGAAGCAGGCAGGAGCTGATGAGAATAGAGTAGAGGCCTAAACACAGATACACCTTCCTCCTGCTCCCAGCCCAGAAGAAAGGCCTTGGGGGAGCATTGGCCAACTGGAAGGTGGGCAGGTCAGAGGTCAGGCTGGTGATCAGCCGAGGCTTTGTTGGGGAGTGGCGATGTGGCTAGCCTCCACTCAGGCATAGTCAAGGATGGCCACGGGTGGAAGGGGGCTAGGAAGGGTCTGGTGACAGACAGCCTGAGGTTGAGGGACTGGCACCCCAGGCCTCCAGGGACAAAACCTACAGGTTGCAGTCACCACTCAGCCCCCTTGCAGAGGGGGCAGCCTCCCAAGCAGGACCTTAGGCCATCTCGGGCTGGCCCTGGGAAGGTGCACGCCACCTACCCCTCCTACCTCCGCAGTCATTTCTTTTCTCCCAGTTTCTTCACACATTTTCTAGCAGAGACCTTTAGCGGATGTGGAAATAGAACACCCAGAACCCTTGCCTTGCTCTCCAGGGCTGACCCCACCCTGCTGGTACCCCCATGTCATCCCTTCACTCAAGCGTTTTGGTCAGGGCATGAACAGACACCACACCAGGGGTCAGGAGGAAGGCCTTAAGCTGAAATAAGGAGTATGACGGGCTCTGGACTAGTCTCCCAAGGGCGCTGGCCTGGACAGCCCCTGCACTGAGCACCACTGCTCAGCTTTCCCCTCCTGGAAGCCAGACTACGTGGGGCTGAGGCCCTGCCCCTCCTACTGTAGGCGGCCCGTCTCTCACAGGCAGTGAGATGGGCAGCACCCTATTGATGCCAGAGCTCAGCTGCCACAACTTCTCCCTCCCCTGGTGCACAGGCCCCAGGAGGGCACAGGGTCAGTGTCTTCCTCCCCAGGACCCAGAGTCAGAGAGAGTGGGGCTCATTGGGCTGGGCTGGGCTCGGCTGAGTGCAGGTGTGCCGGGAAGTCCTGAAAACACTTTTGGGGGAGCAACACTTTGACCCAGTGGTGCTCCACAGGCTGTGTTTGAGGGCCCTGCAGCATGGAACTGGGGTGAGATGGTGAAGGGGTTCGCTCCCTAGCCATGCCAGCAAAAGGTGTAAGGGCTCCTTGGCCCCTCACCCATAATTCTCCATGGGCACCACCACCCTGTGCCCCAGTCCCAGGGCTACATCAGCTACCATGTCATCACTCCCAGTATGAGGGCCTGCTGGCATCCTATGAGGCAGAGGCCATGCCCCCCGGGGAAATGCTCAGGGAGATTCTGCAGATTAACAAGTATTCTAGTTTACCCCAAACTAGGTTCAGAGGGTAGAGCTGATGGCAGGGGGCAGAGGGCTGCCATGTGGTCTGCAGCTCTGAACTGTCAGGTGAGGGCACTCTGCAGGCAGGGCTGACATTGCCCTGTGTCTGGGGGCTTGTTGAGGAGCTGCCTAGCACCACCACTCACCCTGCCTGACCCACCGCTCTTTCCTTTGTACCTCTGTCCTCATGTCCACAGGAGCATCTGAGACTGATAGGTGGCACAGGCCGGGCAAGTCATTCCTATTCAAAGGAGAGAAGCCCTGTGTCTTCAAAAAGGGCTGAGGGGATACAGGAACTGAGGACAACAAAAGGTGGAAGTGGCCAAGCCCCAGGGCAGGGCATGAGGTGCCTGTGTGGAAGACATTTATCATCTCTACATGTTCTAGAAGGTCCTTTGGGCTGTTCTGTCTCAAGGTTCAGATTGCTCTATCTTTTGGTTGAACTCAATCAAAACAGCCTAATTTTGTAATCTCTGCCAGTCACCAGGGGATATGATTGTGACTTGTAAGGTTGTACTGGGAGTCCCATGATGCCTAGGGCAAAGGGCCATCCAGAGCAGTGGCCAGGCCATGATGTTCATGTTCTGCCCCAAGACCCTGGGGCCTGTAAGTCATGTCAATCAAAACTGCAGCATTCTGGTACCAGACCCATGTGTTCTGCCATTGCTCAAGGGTAGGGCGCTGGGCTTCTGAGGGCCCCAGATCTTGATGGGGGCCTCCTTTCCAGAGGAGGGGGTGGGAAAGGAGGGGAGCCAACAACTCTGAGGCCCCCATTGTGGTGATGACAATGACGATGAGGCTGATGAAGTAACCAGGGAAGGGATCTGGTATAGGAGCTGGTAGACAGGTGAGGGGTCTCCTTAGGACATGTGAAGTGAAGGGCTGAAGGAGGGTCAAGGGTGGAGGAGAAATGAGACAATGGACAAATGCGGCTTGAGCTCAGATCTGCCTCAGTCCAGTTTCTGGCTGTAGGACCCCACTTTCTTCCCCATGGACCCAGGCACACCTCCTGGGATGCACAAGCCTGTTAGAACTCATGGCACATGCTTCACCCCCCATGGCAGGCAAGGTCCTCCTGGGTTCACAGAAGGCAGTGGAAGGGAAGAGTGAGTGGATGGTCTCAGAGGTGGGTGTCCAAGCCTGTGAACTTATCAGGCCTGATACTGGACAGGTTGGGGGAGGAATGTCAGGGTGTCAGAGACGGCAGAGGATGCACAGGGCAGATGAAGGCCCAGCAGGGGGCAGCAAGGCATTGGCTGAGGAAAAGCTGGGGCCCTAGCATGGAGCAGTGTGAGCAGGGACAGTAACTGAAGAGGGCATATGAGATCGATGTCCTAGCCTGTGAGGAAAAAGGTGGGCAAGAGCCTGGCCCCATGTGGAGGGTGGGAGAGCCAGGTCAGCAGGCAGTTGGAGTCAGAGCTGCAGATGCCCCCCTCCTGGAGGGGAGAAGACGACATATGAGCAAGATGAGTCTCTGCCATTTAATAGTATCCAGTTCCCTCAGAAGATAGGGCCAAAGTGAGTGTCACAGAAATGACCAATAATGAAAGCCTTCAGAAAAAGCAACACTCTGGTCCCCTCAGCGAGCGGTTGGGCTGCTGACTGGTTGAAGGTGGTCTCAGCAAGCTGGATGACGGCAGCAGGCCAGACGGCTGGCTGGTGGGCACTTCTGGGTTGAGCAGCTAGAGGGGTCTGGTGTCCAGGGCTCTATCAGGGACCACCCAGGTTGCTGGCCAGGAAGGTCAGCAGGTAGCGGCTGACATGCCTCTCGATGATGACAGGGGAGAAGCCGAGGACGCGCCGAGCCTTTGGCAGGACCTTGGGATCTGGAAGACATGGGGAGAGGAAAGGAGACAATGAGGGGGATCACAGCTCTCCCTTCCCCTGAGCCTGTGAAAGACTTGAGGTGTCTGAGTGCTTCCTGTCCAGCCCCAGTGGTATGGCCTGGGGTTCTAGTTAAAACAAGTTTCAAGCAAAGAACCTGGATTTTCTAACTCTCAAACCTGCAAGGGACAGGGAGGGCCACGCCTGCCAGCAGCCAGGGTGCATGCCCATGGTCCTTGTATTCTCAGTGGAGTGGGGAGCGGGCCCAGCCTGGCCAAGAGGAGAGGGATCTCCCGCTGGGACCTGGGAGGCCATACTGGCAGCTTGTCCATCTGGTTAGGGTTTCACAGTTAGCAGATCTGAATCCTCAGGATCCCCAACACAGAACCAGGGTGTGGGTAGCCCTGGGTTTCAGTGCCCACTCACCCACCAGTCCTTAGGCAATGGGCACAGCTCTGGGGCACCTGGAGGGACCTACCTGGAGGGCAGCAGTACATGAGCAGAGCCAGTCCCGCAGCCACGCTGAGGCAAGCCAGAAAACCCAGAGGTCCTGGAGAGAAATGGGTGAGAATGAGTAGGCTGCTGAGGCTATCGGGGGACTGTGCTGGCACGTGCTCTCTGTGCAAGGCCGGCCAGCCATCTATGGGCCAGAAGACAGCAGGGAAATGCCAGGGTGGGAATGCCAGGCCTGAGGAGATGCCTGGAGGGCCTGTCAGCGAGCACTTTAGAAGGAGTCTGTCCATCAACAGAAAGCCAGAAACTGAGCCTGGAGGAGGAGCCAGTGCTGGGGTAGGGTGCTGGGAGACAGGAGAAGTGAGGGAGAGAAGAAGACAGAGAGGTGGTGGGAGGGAGGTGTTACCCCTGTCACTCAGCTCCCATTTCTCCACTCCCGAGTCTAGCTCTGTGCCATCTGAGTTTTCTGGAAACAAAATCACAGAGCAGGTTAGTTGTAGGGTAGGCCTGGGAGAATGGTGAGTCCCACACCCTCAGCTCTCGCCTACAGGGAACATCCAAAGGTCTGGGACAGGCATGTGGAGCTGGGACAAGGCCACACAGCGTCGAGTTATGTTTCTCCCTGGGTATGTGGGCATCTGGGTGGCACCTGTCTGCCTGGACCCATACCCTGCCCACATGTGAGGAGCCATTCTGATGTAGGAGACTTGGCCCTTTCACCTTTGTCTAAATCTGTGACTGGGAAGGCCATTGTACCCTGTGGCCAAAAGGCATCGCATACCAAAAGTCTCCCTAGCGTTAACATTATTACTGCCTGGGCAGCCTGTATTTGGTGTGTGGGGCAGCCTTTGGGCAAAGGCACTTCCTTTCTAAACCCTGTGTAGGTGACTAAGGGGTGTCCTACTGGTGAGCAACATGCTAGAGTGACTCGAGGGTCGACTGAGAATCAGGAGAGGAATTTCACTTTAAGCAAGGGTGTGACTGGTCACATTGTGTTTTTAACTTGAGCGCTGGGGAAAGAACTGGACCCCCAGCCTGGAACTCAGCCCAGCCACCCAGTCCTAGAGGCCACACATTGTCCGACAACGTGGGCATCCACTGCTCTCCTAGGTCTGCCCTATGTCTGCATGGCCCAGCCTTCAGCGCCCCAAGGAAAGCTGGGGTCCTGGTGTATGACCACGGCAAGCATTAGCACCCCACCAGGATTGGGAGCTAGCCACCTGGGTAAGGCCCCTGCTAAAAGACAGACTGCAAGACAGACAGACAGTACATGTGCCCTCTGACCCAGCCTTTCCTATCTGAGAATTTGCTGAAGAGGGTGGTGACACTCAGGGTATAAGAGTGGCGTGTGCAGACCACACACCCGACACTATCCTCAGTGGTGAGGCTAGTAATCAGGCTGGCATTCAGGGTAAGGGATCACTGAGGCAGTAACTCCCCCCAGCACCTGCCCACCAGTTATGGTGTTGATGGTCAGGCCCCAGAGCCTGCCATTGGGTGGAGAGGAGGATCTCCACCTTGGCAAGTGGGACGGAGGGGAGTTGCAGAAACCTGGGGGGACCAAGAGTGGGGTCTGCATGATGGGGGCAGGGTGGAGCTGACATCATGACTAGGTTGGTGACACCAACTCTAGGGAAGCCACGGTCTGCAGAAAAACTCACAGATGCCAGAGATGTCACTAGAGGCAGTGTAAAAGCAGCCCAGTGCTCGCCTTCAGGAGGCAGCTACAGAGAGAGTGGGCATCCCTCAAGTGCACTGCAGCCGTGTAAAAGAGCAAGGCCGCTCTCGTGAACTGCTTAGATGGTGTACAGCTCTAATGAGTTCAAAAAGGAAAAAGCACAACTGTGCATACCATATACAACACCTTTGTGGAGAGAAAGACATGTGTGTACATGCAGTCTTCTCTCTGGCCAACTGCAGTGGTCTCTGGGGAGGGGCTGCAGGGCAGGAAGGCTCAGGCCCTGACTTGCCCAGAACATAGTACTCCTCTCTGCTGACAGCAGCCAGGGCTGGAACAGGCAGCCCATGGAGGGCATTGGGGGTACCATGCTGGGTGTGGGGACTTACGAAGAGCATGCCGACTGGGCAGGCAGCTGTGCAGGGGCTGGGCATGGATGTACAGGGCACGGTAGAACTCTTGGCAGTCCCGCTCGCCACTCCTCTGCAGGTGGCTCAAGAGGTTGCAGAGCCTCACACGCAGAGCTGCTCTGGGGTTCCGAAACTGTAAGAAGAACAAGGGTGAGGGCGATGGAGGCCGGGGAGGGTGGGCTGATGACCAGTCATGCCTTTCCCCAGACACAAACCTGCTCAAGGGGTAGGGACATACCACCTCCACAGCTGCCCCCAGCTCTCACTTACTCTGCACCCGCAGTGCCTGATCCAGAGGACGTGGTTTTTGAGTCATTGCTACTCCCATCCCAAATACTGTGGGGCTGGAAATCACTGTCCACTCTGTGGACAGGAACCTGAAGCTTGGGGAAGTTTTAAAGAAAATGTTGGCCAGGAACATTACCTCAAATGGTTTGCTGTATGGACTTGGCAGTTGCCCCCAGCTCTCTGAGGGGATAGAGAAAGTTAGATGGTAGGGTTGTGACAGGAAATACTGAGGGGAAGGGGATGGCATAAACACATCTCACTGATACTGTGATCTACAAAAGCCCACAACAACAGTGGTCTATGGTAGATACATTGACAGACACACAGACTGAATGGGTATGGGACGGAGAATGGGAGTATATTCAGAAATATATAAGGGTTTGATAGAAGATATGTGTCCAAACACATCTATGAATGTGGTGGAGCACTGTTGTTATTGTTGTTAAGTACTGTGGAGTTCTGACTCATAGTGGCTCTGCACAGGGTTTCCAAGGCTGCAAATCTTTACAGGAGCAGAAAGCCTCATCTTTTCCCGCGGAACATACAGGGGGCAAAATTATGAAAACTTCTTAGATATCATCAAACACCTTGAAGAAATGAGTTGCTGGACCTGGGGGTTCAGGACTATATTCTCAGGGGATACCATGGGCAATTGGTATAACACAGACCCCAAAGAAAATGTTCTACATCCTACTTTGGTGAGCAGTGACTAGGATCTTAAAAGCTCGTGAATAGCCATCTAAGGTACAACTAATGGTCTCCCCAAGTGTGGAAAAAATAAGAGTGTTGAAAATTGAAGATGCTTGGAATCAACTAGTCCAATGGACAAATGGAACATGTGAACATCAGTCACCAAGACTCTGACACCAAAAGAACTAGATAGTGGTGTCCAGTTAAGTTACCACTACCAGCTGCTCTGAAAGAGATCACATTAGAAGGTCCCATATAAAGTGAGAGAAAATGAAACAAAACCCAGTATTATTAAAACAAAACAATACTGGGCTTACTGGTCATAAACAGACGGGAGGAACCTGAGACTATGGTCCCCAGTGACACTTCAGGTAGCTGAATTTTCAGTCAAGCAGTAGATAGGTATAACAGGGGACAACAACACTAGTAAGGTATGCTGACCATGGAATGGTCAACAATTCAAGGTCAAAAGGGCAACATTTACCTAAGGAGAAAGCTGAAAAGAGTTGGTAAGGGGGTGGAATGGAAACAAGAACCAAAGGGAGGAAGTGGGATAACTGTTGTTACATGGAGGGGATTACAATCATTGAAATGAAACAAAGTGTATGATTTGTTGAAGGTAAAACTGATGATCTACTCTCTAAACCTTCACTCAATTCACAATAAAGTTACAAAAAAAAAAAGCTCATGAGCAGTCATCTAAGATGGTCTCTCCCTGTTCAGAGGAAAGAAGAGTGATGGAAATTGAAGACATATGGGATGAATTAGTCCAATAAACTAACGGAATGTGTGAACATCCGTCTCCACACCCTGAGACCAGAACCAGATGGTGCCCCGCTACCCTACCAACTGCCCTGAAAGGGATCACAATATAAGGTCCTGGATAGAGTAGGAGAAAATCTGTAACAAAATTCAAAATGATAAAAAAGAGGAGGTTTACTTCAGGAACCCAAGACCATGAGCCTTATTCTGGAACTGAACTCACCCTTGTGGCTCTATTTTTAGCCAAGCAGTAGGCAGGAACATAGGGGGCCAACAACACTAGTGGGCAATGCTCACTTTAGATTGCTCAACCACTCAAGATCAAAAGAGCACATATGCCTCAAGACAAAGTTCATGAGGGTTGGGAAGGAGGGTAGTTGGAAACAAGAATCACAGGGAGGAAGTGGCATAACTGATGTTACATGGAGGGGGTTGTAATGATTGGAATGAAATGTGTAAGATTTATTGAAAGTAAAACTGATGATCTACTCTGTAAATTGTTGCTCAATTAATTCACAATAAGCAGTTAAAATAAATAAATGTTGTTGCTGGTGCTGTTAGGTGCCGTCGAGTCGATTCTGACTCATAACCACCTTATGCACAACAGAACAAAATTGCCCGGTCCTGTGCTATACTCACCACTGTTACTAAGCTTGGCCCCAATGCTACTGCCACTGTGCCAGTCCATCTCACTGGAGGGCTTTTTCACTGACCTTCCACTTTACATAACATAGTATCACTGGCCCCTCCTGATAATATATCCGAAGTATAAGAGATGAAGACTTCTTTCTGTATAAGAGATTCTGGCTTCCAAGGAGCATTCTGGTGGTATTTCTTCCAACATAGATTCATTTGTTCTTTTAGTTGTCTATGGTACTTTTAATATTCTTCTCTAACACCATAATTCAAAGGCATCAATTCTCCTACAGTCTTAAATACATTTCACTATTTTGCAGTCTGTGGTTCTGATTTACATGTTTGAAAAATAAAGGAAGGGTTGAGAAGAAAAGAACAGATTCTCTGCTTGTTAGTGGAACACCAGCTCTTTCCCCTGACCCTGTGCTGAAGTGTGCTGCTCTGCCACCTAGTGAAAGAACCCAGTCCTGCATGGCTGCATGTAAGCCTGCAGGGACCACAATATGCCTGGAGAGGCGACCTAGGATAAGCACTGGACCTCAACGTCAGTTTGAACTGCAAGGTTGGTAGTTCAAACACATCTGTTGCTCCTTGGAAAAACTATACAGGGTCGCTATGAGTTGGCACCCACTTTGCGTTGTGCGGCACTTAACAACAATAACTAGAAAAGGGAGATGTGTGATGGGAGTCCCTGTGAGCCATGGGGTATCTGAGAAAAGGAATGTGTTCCGGTAGGGGTAATGTGCAGGGGCAGTTTCACTTTTCAGATTTTTTTGCATTGAATATGTATTAGATTTTCTATTATAATAGCATCACTACTCGTCTGTCAGTTTGTCATATTGTGGTAGCTTGTGTGGTGCTGTGATGCTGGAAACTAGGCAACCAGTATTATAAATACCAGCAGAGTCACCCATGGTGGACAGGTTTCAGCTGAGCTTCCAGAGTAAAACAAACTAGGAAGGAAGAGAGGTGGAGTACTTCTGAATGCTTAGCCACTGTAAACCTTATGAACAGCAGTGGAACATTGTCAGATATAGTGCTGGAAGATGAACCCCTGAGGTTGGAAGACCCTCAAATATGACTGAGAAAGAGCTGCCTCCTTAAAGTAGAACTGACCATAATAACATGGATGGAACAATGCCTTCAGGGCCTTCATTTGCTGATAGGGCACAACTCAAAATGAGGAGAAACAGTTGTAAACATCCATTAATAATCAGAACATGGGATATACGTAGTATGAAATCAGGGAAAATTGGAAGCTGTCAAAAATGAAATTAAATGCTAAAAGACTAGTATCCTAGGAATTAGTGAACTAAAATGGACTAGTATTAGCCATTTTGAGTCTCACAATTACAAGGCTATGCCGAGAAAGACAAATTGAAGAGGAAAGGCATCACATTCATCATCAAAAACAGCATTTCAAGATCTATCTTTAAGTACAATGCTGTCTGTGATAGGATAACATCCATACACCTATAAGAAAAACCAGTCAATACAACTATTATTCAAATTTATGCAACAACTAAAGCCAGTGATGATGAAAACTGAAGAATTCTACCAACTTCGTCAGTCTGAAAGATAATTACCAGTGACTGGAATGCAAAGGTTGGACACAAAGAGAACGGATCAGTATTTGGATATTATGGTCTTCATAATAAAATGATGCTGGAGAGGGCATGACAGAATTTTGCAACATCAATGATGTACTCATTGCAAATACCTTTTTTCTACAACATAATCAATGACTATACCTCATCTAAATTTTCACCACTGGACCAGTAAACAATATTCTTATCAATGAAGAAAAGACTGAAGCTGTCAAGGACTTCATTCTTCTTGGATCAACTATCAGCACTCACGGAAGCAGCAGTCAAGAAATCAAACAACGTACTGCATTAGGCAAATCTGCTGCACAAGACCTTTTGAAAGTGTTGAAGAGCGAAGATGGTCAGCTTGAGGACTAAGGTGCTCCTGACACAAGCCATGGTATTTTCAATAACCTCATATGCATGCAAAAGCTTGACAGTGAATAAGGAAGATAGTAGAAGAATTGATGCTTTTGAGTTATGATGTTAGAGGAGAATATTGAAAGTGCCATGAGCTGCCAAAAGAACCAACAGATCTGTGTTGGAAGAAGTGCAACCAGAGTGCTCCTTGGAGGTCAGGATGGCCAAACTTGGTTTCTCATACTTCGGATATATTGTCAGGAGGAACCAGTCGCTGGAGAGGGATATCATGTTTTGTAAGGTGGAGGGTCAGAGAAAAAGAGGAAGACCCCCAGTGAGATGGGTTCAAACGTGGCAACAATTGTGAGGTTGGCCCAGGACCAGGCAGTGTTTCATTCTGTTGTGCATAGGGTCACTAAGTCGGTACCTAGTCAATGGCACCTAACAACAACAATACCTCATCTGGACCTCACTAGATGGAATACCCAGGAACCGAATCAACTACACCTGTGGAAAGAGAAGTTGGAGAAGCTCAATATCATCAGTCAAAACAAGGCCAGGGGCAGACTGTACCAGACCATCAACTGCTCATATGCTAGTTGAGACTGAAGTGAAGAAAATCAAAACAAGTCCCCAAAAGCCAAACTATGACCCTGAGTAGATCCCACCTGAATCTAGAGACCCTCTCAAGAAAAGACTTGAGCGTTCTTCTTCTGCGTTGCCTATGGAGGAGGCGGCTATCTTGACCGGCATCATGGCTGCCCTCAAACTCCTGGTGAAGCCCAAGATTGTCAAAAAGTGGACCAAGTTCATCCAGCACCAATCGGATCATTATGTCAAAATTAAGCATAACTGGCACAAGTCCAGAGGCATTGACAACAGGGTATGGAGAAGATTTACGGGCCAGACCTTAATGCCCAACATTGGTTATGGGAGCAACAAGAAGACAAAAGACATGCTTCCCAGAGGCTTTGCAAGTTCCTGGTCCACATATCAAAGAGCTGGAGGTGCTGCTGATGTGCAACAAATCTTACTGTGCAGAGATTGCTCACAATGTTTCCTCCAAGAACCACAAAGCCATTGTGGAAAGAACAGCCCAGCTGGCCATCAGTCACCAATCCCAATGCCAGGCTGCGCAGCGAAGAAAATGAATAGACGGCCTGTTTTTGAGTTTTATTTGTGCTAAAAAAAACCATAAAAGCGCTGCCAAAAACAAAACAAGAAAACAGATTTGATGCATTAGACAATAATTCTAGACATCAGGAATATCATACATGAAAAGAACAAAAGGTCATTAATAAGAAAAAACAAAGATGGCAGAAGATGCTGAAACTTGCTCTTGAACCAGAGAAGTTAAAGCAACTGCAAGAAATGGTGACGTAAAAGAGTTGAACAGAATATTTCAAAGGGCAGTTCAAAAAGACAAAGTCAAGTATTATAACGATGTGCACAGACCTGGAGTTACAAAACCACCATCATTCCCATGGCATGTGGGGAAACCGTGGTCCAGAGCCTCAAGAACTGTCACATGTAACTTGCTATGTCCTGCAACTCTCAAGGGAACTCAGCAAGGGCTATCAACTCCATTTACATATGAAGGACTATGGATGCAACTGACTTGGGGGGTGGGTTGCAAGGTCATGTTCGTAGCCCCATGAAGCACCACTGTCCAACCCTTACCTTTTCAGCCTCCTTGTTGGTAAGAATCTGTGGGTAGTAGCGGTTCAGCTGCAGAATGATCTTGTCCACTTGCTGTTCACTCAGGCGCCCATGGTCTGTCAGGAAAGGCATGTCCTGGACCAGACGATCACAGTAGGTCTGATCTGAAACCCAGAGGTAGTAAGCATGGAGTGTGAACAGACATCATGATCAGGGGCAGAGTAGTGCAGTCCCCTAGTTACAAAGATGCTAAGCCTGCTGGCCACAGTGAAGCCCCGATACCCACTGGCCACCTGCTCCCCACTGGAGCATGGTTGAACAGATCTGACATCCCAGCTTGTGGGGCTGCCTGCACAGCCAGGTACACACACGCTTGCATCTCCCAAGCTCTCACCAAAGCTGGAGAGGGAGTGGGTGCAAGAAACCAGCCAGCTCTGCTGCAGAGCAGAGTGGAGCCAGGCTGCCCTTGGCCCTCAATACTGTATGGGAGGGTTGACCATAAGAAATCAACTCTAAGGAGCCAAGTGCCTGTTCTCTGAGGAGTTCCTGGAACGCCATTTGGAATTAGCCAAGGTGGGAGTGGGGGGGCAGGGGGAGGAGGGGAAGGTTGTGTCATGGTGGCCTAACACCAGCTCCACAGCTCCTAGCTGCAGTCTTCCAGGATGGCACAGATACAGTGAACTCAAGACTTGAAGGTTTGAGCTGGCATTGAAACAAGGCACTTCATGTATGCAAAGCCAAAGTAGCACATCTGCCTAAGGGCCCTGGGGGGATGCTTCCTTTATTCCTTACAGAACTACCATGAAAGAATCATCACCACATTGTCTTTCCCATAAAGTACATTTCTGTGTATGTGTGTGCTTGTTAACAGTGTTTACTTTTATTCCCATTAAACTCGTGCATTCCTCCCTGTGTTCTCTCCTACCTGCATTCTTCAGCCAATCTCCCTCTTGTCATATAATGCTTTCCCTATCACCCAAGATATGTGTATATACTCTAACCAGGGAATTATTATCCCTTCCCACCTACTCCTGATACCCATCAGGGAATGTTTATTTTAGCATTAAAACCCTGAGTTTTTACAGGACTGGTCTCATACAAAATGTACTTTGTGATTCATTTCATCGAGCATAGTGTTTTACAGTTTCATCCCTGTTATGAGGCGTTTTGCAGATTCATTATTATTCTTCAATGTTGTGTAGTATTTCATTGTGTGTCAAAGTTCATTAATCCTTTCTTCTGTTGATTGGCATTTAGGCTCTCGCCATCTTTTTGCTATTGTTATTAGTGCTCTTATTTCTTGAGGATATAAACCAAATAGAAGGATTACTGGGAAATTTCTGTTTCCAACTTTTTGAGAAAGTGCCATACCATTTTCCACAGTGGTTGTACCATTTTACAGTCCCAAAACACTGGACTATGAACCACAAGGTCTGCGGTTCAAGTCCACCAGCAACTCAGCAATTGAAAGATGAGGATTTCTGCTCCCGAGAAGATAGTTCTGGTGTGGCACTGTAGGATAAGCACTGGATCACAAGGTCCGTTTGAACTACAAGGTCAGTGGTTCAAACTCACCCACAGCTCCTCGGAAACACTACACAGGGTCGCTATGAGTCAGAACTGACTCCATGGCACTTAACAACAACTGAAAAAAGTCAAAAATGATTTGCACTCTATAATAAAGTTTCTATGATGGTTACCAGGGGTGGGAGGAAAGGGAGAATTATTTACTGGGTAGAGTGTAGACATGTGCTAACTTGGGTGACAGTTAAAAGAAAAGGAAGGAAAATAGAAGAGGAAAAGGGATTGCTTTCTTTTTTTTTTTTTTTTTGGTTGTTTTTTTTCTTCCTGTCCTGGATGGGAAATAGTGTATATTTATTTTCTCATAAAAAAAGAGCTAAAAAACTACAGAGAAGACACAAATTACTAATCTCAGAAATCAAAGAGGGGTCACCACTACTGATTCCAAGGACAGTAAAGGAATATCATGAACAACATGCCACAGATTTGATAACTGTGATGAAATGGACCAATCCCTTGAAAAATACAATCTATTCAAGCTCACATAAAGATACAAATAATCTGACTAGGTTAAAGAGGTGTAATCAGTGTCTTAGTTGTCTAGTGCTGCTATAACAAAAATACATACAAATGGAATGTTTTGACAAACGGAAATTTATTATCTCATATTTTAAGAATATAGAAGTCCAAATTCAGAGTCCCAGCTTATAGGAAAGGCTCTCTCTCTTGGGTCTGGAGCAAGGTCCGTGTGGATCAAGAAAGGCTCTTCTCAGCTCTGTCCATAAGCAGGCTTCTCTCTGGTCTTCTGCCATTCAGGCTAACCTCTGCCCTGTTCCAGCAAGTGTTATTTACAAAGCTCTTTAACTCATTTGATAATTGCCTAAAGGCACCCCACTTCACCCCAAAACATTCAGCTATCTCTTGCTCCATGAGTCTACTCATATGTCACCTCACATCAGTGTCCTGGGTCTGCTGCCACCATTTCTGTTACCACTTCTCACTATCTTACGCCATCTCCTGTATTACAGCTCTCTTTCCCTGCGTACGTGTGTCCTGGGTCTAGGAAGTTCTCTGCACCAGGATCAGGGTCCAAAGAATGCACTCCACTCCCAGATATTCTTGGTGGTACTAAAATCCCTCCACCTCTGCTCATTTGTTTAATCTTGGCTCAAGATACAACTAATACTGCTCATTATATCCTGCCTCATTAACATAACTGCTTCTAGTCCTTATTAAAATCATAAAGGTTAAGATTTACAATACAAAATGGAAGATAATTACAAGAGAGCTTCAAAATTCATTATCTGGACAAGTAGATAGCCATGGAAGACTAGAGCTGACAGCAAAGCATCCAGCTGATGTGAAGAAAGGGAAGACGCACAAGAATGCTCACACTTGTAGACAGTACCCATTCGACCTAGCTTCTATGGCTTGATGATCAGAGCTTGACTAGAGGAAGATTTAAAAAAAAAAAATTTTTTTTATAAAGAAGCAAGTATAAATTGCTAATTGCTACAATGTGGTGAACTTGACCTATACTTATGGATGTGGTAGCTCAAAATACCAGCTGAGAGGGAAGATCAAGGATCAATCCTATCCCCTCTGTATACAGCGTTGATAGGAATGGGCAGAGGGACTATAAAGGCATGAAGTAACTGGCTTACAAGTTTTCAAGTGGGAGTTTAGTTTCAGAGTGCAGAGGAAGGTAAAATACCCATGGAATAGTTTTCATCTTGTCTACATGGGTCTGGTGAAAGGAGATGGGGAAAAGATTCCTATGATTCAATAGTGAGTAACTGTTATCATGATGAAATGCGATTGTCTCAACTATAAAAGTAGAAGTTCTGTAACAAAAAGGGGGGAGTTGTTAATCTTACAGTCCACGAACAGATGACCCTAGGACCAACAAGGGAGAAGAGCATGAGCAGAATGTGGGACCCTATCCAGAAAAGCAGTGACACCAGAGACACAGGCAGAGATGAGGACATAGAGCGACAGAACAGCTGAGGAATCTAGACTTGTGTAAAGAGAAAGGCAGTGTTCTGGCGGCCAGGAGGCAGGCTTGCAGAATGTGCCCTTTGGTTGTTTAAATGATTATATATTCCTGAGTGTTTTTGTGTACATCCCAAAAAACAACCAAAAAAAAAAAACAAAAACAGAGGAAATAGAAACAAATACTGTTGAATGATGATGCACAGAAGAAATTGTAATCAGTGCAATGAAACAATGAGTGTAAAACTGAAGTTCTCCCATGTAAACTATCACTCAATACACAATAAAAACTTAAAAAAATCATAATCTTTTCATTTCATTTTCCATAACTTTTGAAGCCCCCTATATACTAAGGAGCTCTGGCAGCATAGTAGTTATGAATCAGGCTGCTAATCTCACGGTCAGCAGTTCGAAACTACCAGCTCCTACAAGGGAGAAAGATGAGGCTTTCTGCTCCTGTAAAGATTTACAGCTTCGGAAACTCTGTACAGGGTCACTATGAGTCGGAACCGATTCCATGGCATATAATAATTACAATAATTACATGATACTGAGATCATGGCCTGGCCAATTTGACACATAATTTTGTTGCTCTTGTTAAGTGTTTCAACTCACAGTAACCCTGTGTATAGAGTTTTGTAGGAGTGTTTGGTGGGTTTGAACCTCTGACCTTGTGGTTAGCAGTTCAGTGCTTATCCTGCAACAGTATACCAGGATTCTGACACATATTTTGGGAGAACACAATTGAATCCATAACAAAAAATAATTAATAGGCTTCCAAAACATAAAGCAGGTCCAAGTAGTTTCATTGGTGACTTCTAACAAAGATCTAAAGAAGAAGAATATTGATTCCTTCTACAATCTCTTCCAGAAATTAGAAGTAGAGTGAAAACTTCTGAAGTCATTCGATGTGGCCAGCATTACCCTAATATCAAAATCAGACAAAGACATTATATAGAAGAAAAATTACAAACCAATCTCTCATGACTATAAATGCAAACATCCTTAACAAAATATTAGCTAATTGAATCAATTAGCTAATTATATACCACAACCACGTGGGATTCATCCCAGGCATGCAAGGCTGGTTCAATATTAGAAAATCAATTAATATAACCCATCACATCAACAGACCAAAGAAACTGATATGATCACATCAATGTTGTTAGTGTTAAGTGCAGTTGACCAGTTCCAACTCATAGCAACCCTGTATAGGGTTTCTGAGGAGTGGCTGGTGGGTTTGAACCATCGACCTTGTGGCTAGCAGTCCAGTACTTATCTTACAGTGCCACACCAGGACTTTAATTATATCAAAAGATTCAGAAACAGCACTTGACAAAATCCAACACCCAGTCATTAAAAAGAAACTAGGAATAGAAGGAAACTTACTCAACTTGATAAAATACAAATAAACACCCCCCAAAACCCCTACTGCTAACATCGTATTTAATGGTAGAAATGAGATGCTTTACTAGTAAAGTTAAGAACAAGGCAGAGATGTCCTCTCTCACCACTCCTACTCAATAGCATACTTGAAGTGCTAGTTAATACAATAAGAAAAGGAAATAAAAGATAGATCCTCGGTGGTGGTGTTACGTGTCATCACATCAGTTTCAACTGACAGCAATCTTGTTTAGGGTTTCTAAGGAGTGGCT